AGAAGTTGGTACCAGGGACTGGGGGATTGTTGTGATATGCCTGGGTCATGTGTTTGTCTGGAGGACTTTGGACTTTGGTTTAGGAAAGCAGTGGGTTGCTTTAAGTGCTGCTTAATGGGCCGTACTAGTAGGACCTTGGAAGTCAGAAGTGCTGAGAGTTGTTTGAACTGCCGTGGGGCTCATTCAAGAGGTTTCCGAGGAGAATTTTAGGATGTTGCCTAGAGATCATTTTTGTGATATTTTGGTGAAGTGGCTGTTTTTTGCCCTTGTCTGAAGAGTTTGTCTGAGGCTAAAGAGTTTTGGATTAATTTGTTGGCAGAAGAAATCTTTTTTTTTTTTCCCTCTCGAGACAGGGTTTCTCTGTGTAGCTTTGGTGTCTGTCCTGGAACTCGCTCTGTAAACCAGGCTGGCCTCGAACTCACAGAGATCCGCCTGGCTCTGCCTCTCGAGTGCTGGGATTAAAGGCGTGTGCCACCACCACCTGGCTTTTTGTTTGTTTTTGTTTTTTGTTTTTGGCAGAAGAAATAGTAAAACAACCTAGTATAGACTTTGCCGTGTGGTTTTTAGTTGGTAACTCTAATGAAGATTTATAATGAAAGGAGCAGGCTGAGCAGGGTAAATTATACATGGACACTTGGAGGAGACAAAGCGCACCAGGAAGTGGAATGGAGCCAAATCCCGTGTTCAAGGGGATAAATAAAGAGATGGAATAAAGGGGGTGGTGACCTCAGGGCAGGATCCCAGCCAGCTAAGTTTCCAACTTGTGGAAAGCAACCAAGGGAAGGTTTAGTGCACACCTTTAATCCCGGCACTGGGAAGCCAGAAGCTGGCGGATCTCTGAGTTTGAGGCCAGCCTGGTCTACAGATCCAGTTCCAGGACAGTCAAGCCTAGGCAGTGAAGGACAGAAAGCTGGGGAAGATGTCATTGAATAAGGGGGCCATGTTCCAGCCCCAGCATGCAGCAGACCTTGGCAGCTTTGGCTTTAGAGTTAAGGCTAGAAGGAAGAAGTTATGGAATAAAGCTGCTGATGCCAGGCATGTGTCAGGGGTGTCCCTGAATGGACACCCCGTTGTGTGAAGTTGTGAAGTTGAATCCTGGATTGACTTGGAGAACCAAAGATGTTAGAAGTGCCAGAGTCGTGGGATACCTGCCGAGGAGAGCCGCTAACGGAGTGGAACCAGCCCAAGAGAAAGAAGTGTGCTGCAGTGAACAAAGCTGAACAGAGCTGGGGATCTGCAGAGCGTGGTGACATCAGACATACAGCTGCAGAGTTTGGGTTTTGTGCAGCTGTTTTTTTTTTTTTTTTCCCCTTGGTTTTTTTGAGACAGGGTTTCTCTGTGTAGTTTTTGGTGCCTGTCCTGGAACTTGCTCTTTAGACCAGGTTGGCCTCGAGCTCACAGAGATCCGCCTGCCTCTGCCTCCCGAGTGCTGGGATTAAAGGCGTGCGCCACCACCGCCCAGCTGTGCAGCTGGTTTTTAAGTCTTGCTTTGGTCCAGTATTTCTCAGTATGCTCCTTTCCCTGTGTTTTGGAATGGTAATGTATATCCTGTGCCATATATGTTGGAAATATGTGATCTGTTTTTTGATTTTGATTTTATGGGGGATTGTAGTTAAGAGATTGTATGAAATGAATCTCAAAGAGGCTTCAAATTTTGGATTTTAAACATTGTTGTGATTGTGATAGACTTTGGGGACTTTTGAAGTTGGACTAAATGCATTTTGCATTATGGTATTGTTATAAGCTTATGGGTGCCAGGGAGTGGAATGTGGTGGTTTGAATGTAATTGGCCCCATAATCTCATAGAGTGGCACTATTGGGAGGTGTGACTTTGTTGGAGTGGGTATGGCCTTGTTGGAGGAAGTGTGTTACTGTGGGGGTAGGCTTTGGGCTTTCTTATGCTCAGGATATCACCCAGTGGGTCAGTTGACTTCCTGTTGCCTGCAAGACGGAGGACTCTCAGCTCTGGCACCATGTGTGCCTGTGTGCCACAGTGCTCCCCACCTCGATGATAATGGACTGAACCTCTGAACTGTAAGTCAGCCCCTCAGTCAAATGTTTGCTTTGTAAGAGTTTCATCTGATCTCTTCACGGCTATAAAACTGTAACCAAGACACTCCTCAACAACTCCGTCATTGAAAGTCTCACTCCAGGATGAATGAATGACAGCTTCCCCATAGCTACCCAGCTAAGAGCCCACTCTTCAGTTAATTTTCTGTATCCCTAAGTGAGATCGCCCCTCCCTAGATCATGTGCTTCTGGGACCACATGGCCTACAACAAGGAGGGGCGTGAATGCAGAGCGACTGAGTGGCTGACTTCTCAGATGAGGGTCTCATGACCCTTCCTGTCCCTCTCTCTGTGAGGGGACATTAACAGGGTCAGTCTTGTTGAGATCTTGGGGTAATCACAGATGCTGTGATTAGTATGGTAATGGCTACCGTGTGTTCTGTTCCTGTGTGTCGTTGCAGATTGTTCAGCCTATTGTGTTCTGTTATCCCCAGTTTACAGGTGATGGAATGGAGGCTGTGAGTTCAGAATAGCTCACAGCTGTAGTGGGTAGCTCTTCTAGCTATGACCTTGAAGCACCGCCCCTAGTGAGGTAGCAGGTAACTGTTACACCTGCCTAAGACCTTGAAGGACCTGCCCCTGGGGCGTGGCCACTTGGGACCCTTAAGACCTGGGATGCACTAAGTGGCACTCTCTTCTCTCCCTCGTGGGACTTGGATGCTGGGACGATCTCAGGTGGAAGAGCAGCATGGGACCGCGCCTCACCCTTCCAGGATCCTGCGACACACGGCCGTGAAGCTAGTAATGGATACGGCAGTGTCAGCAGGAACTTTGGGCAGTGTGATTTTCACTGTCCTTTCAGGTATCCAGTAACGCTGTAATTATTTAAGCAGACTCCTTTTGATGGACGGTTAGGTTGTTTCCACCACATCACTGTTTATGTTTCACTATTAAAAAACAAACAATATTTAGCGCATGTCTTGAGGTTTCTAACCATCTGTGCCATTGTCTGTAATCTGGGTAGTGCAGCAGCTGGCAGACTGCAATCTCCCCGTGACTGTGGCAGCTTGCAGTCAGTATTGGCGCTCACAGATTTTATGTGCTGTGTACTTGACCTTCTGAAAGCACTCTGCAAAAGTGTGTTATGTTCTTGCTTTTCTCCTTTTATCCCACGTGTCCACAGCTACCTAGCCCACTATTTACCAGAAAATTTCCCCTGAGAAACAGCTCAGCTCTGTTGTGGATTAAAATCACATCCCTTTGCCAGCGGAGGCCCGTCCGTCCGTCCGTCCGTCCGTCCGTCTGCTTTGGGCCTGCTGGCAGATGGCGGAGAAGAGTTGGCTTTGAGATCCGCCTTTCTGTGAATTCTTACAGTGTAGGAATTCACAAAAGCATCGCCTGGAAGGTGAATCCTTGAAGACAGGGTGCGTATCTTTCACCATGGTGTCTGGCACATGGAGGTAGTGAGTGAATGTCAGGCAAGCAAAGAGGACTGTTGGAGTCACACTCGTCTTTTGATGGACCTTTGTGATGTGATCGAGCTAGAGGGTCGTGATTCATTTGCTGTGCGCTGCACATAGAAGTGGAGTGCGTGGAGCTATTTGTGTGCCTGTTTTCCTTTTCTGGTAGAGGAGGAATGATCTAGGAATATAATAGAGAAAAGTGATCAGTTTTATCAATATTTGTTGAAATTATACTGGTGCTGTCCAGAAAGGAAGTTGGGCGTACCACTTCCTTTCAGTGTGTGTAATCCACGGCAGAGACCAGCACGTGTGGTGTAGCGTTGTGGTAAAGTATGTGTACAGGCATAGAACGGGCCAGTGTTCTACCACAGAAATCCCACGAGAGAATTTAGAAGGGAGAAGACCTTATTTTGGCTCATGGTTTCTCTCTCTGTGCCCGTGGTTCAGCAAGTGTGTGGTGAAGGAAGCTGCTGGCCTCACATTGGCTGGGAGGAAGCCGGAGAGGGCAGGAAGGCCAGGGACAGAACCTTCTCCAAAGCCACGCCTCCAGTGTGTGTGTGTGTGTGTGTGTGTGTGTGTGTGTGTGTGTGTGTGTGTGTTCTCTTTAAAATTTGTAGGCCAGGCAATAGTTGCACAATCTAATCCCAGCACTGGGTAGGCAGAGACAGTTGGATCTCTGTGAGTTTGAGGCCAGCCTGGTCTAAAGAATGAGTTC